GTAAACGTGATTAGTGTTCTTCGTAATCCTATAGACTCAGAGAAGGTAAACGTGATTAGTGTTCTTCGTAATCCTACAGACTCAGAGAAGGTAAATGTAATTACTGTTCTTTGTAATCCTATAGACTCAGAGAAGGTAAACGTGATTAGTGTTCTTCGTAATCCTACAGACTTAGAGAAGGTAAATGTAATTAGTGTTCTTCGTAATCCTACAGACTCAGATAAGGTAAACGTGATTAGTGTTCTTCGTAATCCTACAGACTCAGATAAGGTAAACGTGATTAGTGTTCTTCGTAATCCTACAGACTCAGAGAAGGTAAATGTAATTACTGTTCTTCGTAATCCTACAGACTCAGAGAAGGTAAACGTGATTTAATTTTTATCATACTAGAGTCAATCTAGTACGGCTGAAAAGTCACTGTGGAATTACAATTATATTCCTTTTGATGTAATATACCAAGTATTTATTGAAAATAAGATAGTGAAGTGTACTCATAGCCACTGTAGTGCGTTAATATCTCACACTTTACTGTATAGTGGTTCGTGTAGTTAACAATATCTCTATCAAAATATTCAGTTTTAGTCATATTTTCCAAACTTTCCAAATTAATGTTTGAATGTAAAGCATCATTGCAGTATTCTTATGAACTTACTAAACTTTTTTTATAGATCACGATTTTGCTGATATAAGTCTTTATAGTAATTTGTGTTTTCTGCAATAATAATGATAGCTCTAAATAAAAATGTTCATAAAGATAGACAGTAGAAGAATTCATGTAATCGGTAGGTTGAAGGAGTCAGTTGAGAGGAACGACTTAAAATATGTCAGTGACGTTCAAAAGATTAAACCATATGCATAGCAGAACCATAGTTTGTATTTTTTACTTAATAAGGACAATTAAAGACGAAAAACGCAAGGATGTATCATAAACAATTTTAAAGTGAAGGTGCAAATGACAGAATTGAAAAGTTATAAAAACTGAAAGAACTAAAGCTACTATGTAAATATGAACACATGAACTGTTGAGATATGAATAGTAATCTGGCTGGACTTACAGATGGGACAGCACAGTGAGAAGGACGTCTTTAGTGGTATGGGTAAAAATAAATAAAGAAAGGAGAAGATACTCAGATCCAATATTTGAAAAGCACCCGACAGATGTGGCAGCACAGTGAGAAGGACGTATTCAGTGGTATGGGTAAAAAAAAAATAAAGAAAGGAGAAGATACTCAGATCCAATATTTGAAAAGCACCCGACAGATGTGGCAGCACAGTGAGAAGGACGTATTCAGTGGTATGGGTAAAAAAAAAATAAAGAAAGGAGAAGATACTCAGATCCAATATTTGAAAAGCACCCGACAGATGTGGCAGCACAGTGAGAAGGACGTATTCAGTAATATGGGTAAAAAAAATAAAGAAAGGAGTAGATACTCAGATCCAAGATTTGAAAAGCACACAACAGAAGAGTAGACACTGAGTCCACAGAATAGAAACTCGTGAAGAACATTTCATTTAATTTCCGTTTCAGAACATGAAGCAGATATTACTTATGTTTCATATGACATATAAACGTGTTACATACCAAACTTTCATACTTCCGTTTAATTAGCGGATTCAATCTTGCTTAGGTTTCTCAGATATTATTAGTGTTATAAACTTGTAGTATTTTCTACCAGATCGTAGGCGTATTTTTAGTTTTATTCTATAGGTATTTATATATTTTCACTGTGTTTTGTTTTTCAGACGGAAATTGTGGGATTAACCGGAAATATTTCCTTTTCTGAAGATGGTTTCCGGAAAAACTTTACCATTGACATAGTTGAAATGAACGTGGATAGTGAAATGGTCAAAGTATGTTCGTAAAATATTACGAAACGCAGCTTGTATTTATCCCATTTAAGTAGAAACGTTTGAGAAAATGTAGCTCGACTACTGATTTTAACAAGTTGAAGATATATATAAATTATTTTGACGTTTAATCTCTATCGTTTGCGTCATATACGTTTCAGTCTTTTCTGGTTTTTAGTAAATAATAGTTATCAAAATTTTACTAAAATGTATATAACAGCATTTCAACAATGTCACGTTATTCGCTATGAGAGCCGGGCGTGGTCAAGTTGTTAGCTGGCTCGAATTGTGATTCATAGAGTTAATGGTTCTTGACCACTGACGAAAAACGTGCTCCCCACTTTAGAGGTGTGGGTGCACTGCGAAAGGGACTATTAAATCCTACAATATAATCAGAAAAGAGTAGCTCAATGTTTGGCGGTGAGTGCTGTTCACTTGCTGTTCTCCATTTTGTTTATAAGTTCAGATAGCCTCTTTGTAATTTTGTGCTAAATTTTGAAACAAACAAATTGTTGTCATTTTCCATTAGATGGGACTTTCCACATTTCATGACGTTTGTTTGAAATAAATAGTTTCAACTAACATCTCGTACGATACGATCAAGGCAGCTCGATTATTTCTGGAGCTTTGAGTGGGAGGGTTCGTTGGCAGCGCCACGGAACAACAACAAAAAAGACAGTTGAAATGCTATTATACGCTCTTCTTACTGAAAAACTGTACTTGCCCATTAAAAAGGATATGATTGAAATTATTAACGATCAGTCGTATTATGACCTAATATTAAAAACATATTGCTACTAAATAAGCAATAATAATCTTTTATTGTTTTTGTTGCAAACACTGACACATCTATACTGAAACTTTATGCACAAATTGTCAGATAGCGTACGTTTTATGTAAGATTATACCTATTAATAATATAACGTTCTTGTGGATTGATATTATAATAGACATTTAAGAAAATTTACAATTTCATAGATAGCTGAATTTTCCGACACTCGGGGATTAGAATTTGATCCTACTGTTAACGGAGAAAACCTGGAGAATGGAATAGAAAACAAAACATACATTGTAACAAGTATTCTGGTAAGTTTTTATTAAGATTTCTTAACCTTAATTCGTCAGTAGATCAATACATTATTATTTTTGAAAAGCTGAACAATCACATGCAGTGGTCTCTCTAATTATTTCTGAATAAGTCAAGAAACAAAAAAAAAATTAAAAGAAGCACACTCAGCACTTTGAAGCCATGGGTTCGTATTAATAGTGACTGTCAAGTCCCATCATTCAACTAAAGTTGCCCAATAGCTGGGTCCCCCAGTGGCATAGCGGCATGCACTCAGCACTTTGAAGCCATGGGTACGTATTAATAGTGACTGTCAAGTCCCATCATTCAACTAAAGTTGCCCAATAGCTGGGTCCCCCAGTGGCATAGCGGCATGCACTTAGCACTTTGAAGCCATGGGTACGTATTAATAGTGACTGTCAAGTCCCATCGTTCAACTAAAGTTGCTCAATAGCTGGGTTCCCCAGTGGCATAGCGGTATGTCTGCAGACTTACAATTACAACGCTAGAAACCGGGTTTCGATACTCGTGGTGTGCAGAGCACAGATAGCCAAATGTGTAGCTTTGTGCTTAACATCAAACAACCTTTACCCAATAGTTGGTAGTAAGTACTGTTGACTCAAATTTGTAAATTCAAAATTAGTGACGGCTAACGCAGATAGCCCTTGTGAAGTTTTACGCAAGTATCCAAAACAAAACAAAGCAAACTGATATCGATAAATAAATTATTTTAAAACAACTCGCTGAGCAGACTTGTAAACACATAGTTACATATTGATAGACATAAATTTTTAATCTTTATTGCATGTTATACCTACACTGATTGGACACTTTAGTTGGAACTATACCTAATGACGGGCTGGAGAAGCATTTGCTCGAATAACAGTCATGATATGGCATAGCATATAATACACAAGGCGCTGGAAAGTGTCCTGAGAGAGTTTCTTCATTTAGTCATAAATATTTTCCACAATTTACAAAGCGAGGTAGACAGAGATTAGTGGTGGTGAATGTGCTTTTCAAATTCATGCTACAAATACTCAGTTGAATTATGATGGCCGTGGAAGAGGCTCGAAGTTTCCATCAAGCTCCCCGAACCATGCATGCAAAACGTATGGAAACACTTCCATCTTGGAAGTAACTGTCCCTATCAGAATAAAAATGAAGTATCGTCGGATGCACTTGATCAAAAATGATGCTGATGTAAGCCGTGTCCATCGTATTTCAGAAAAACATGTCCTAAGTCATGACTTCACCACCAGAGACCTGAACAGTTGGAACCACGCAAGAGGATTGAGTTATTCTTGTTTTTTGTCCTTGTCCCAGTCATTTGTAGCGCTGCAGGAATCAGGAGACAAATTATATGATCGACCTCATTTGCATCTGCAACTCCAAAGGACTTTTGTGCTTTTGGTCTGTTTAAGTGTGCTTTCAGAAGACGTAGTATTAAGACTTACCTGGTTTTCAGAGAGCTGCACAGGAGGAATGGGGCAATACTGACATAGATTTTATGCGAAGAAGTCTCATTTCAATAGAACATCGTTGCAAAACCTTTGTTAAGCAGTTTTTTTGTTAAGTTGGTATGTTTTGCACAAGTCTACCTTTAAAGGTAGTTGAGTCGTCAAAGAATGAGATATTCACATTTTCTGTTCTGTATGTATGACAACTTAGCAGTTAGAACAGTTATAATGTTTGATTAACGAGAAATAAACGAGAGTGCACACAGTAAAACTATCTCTGTCACAAGTATTGAAAAACAAAAACCTTCGAATATATCACAAAATATATGAGTAATGAAAAGAGGGTTTATATGCGCAGTTATCTCTCATACACATCAAGGCTCGTAAAACTTTTTTTTTTAACTTTGATAATGACGATAAAGAGGTAATTACCTGGGTTAATATTGTTATGCAGATTTATAAATATAAATATGTAAATGCAAGGAATATTTAAAAATTGACAAACGTTTGCAGAAATAAGCTTATGACAAATCACTATGTGATTTATCATGCTAATACCGTCACTGCTGGCGTATAACAGCGCTGCAGTAATGTGTCATCTTAGATCATATTGGAAATTGCTTAATATTGCACTCCTGTTATGAAAGAAAAAAGATTAAATTACTACCGACTTAGCACCAGATTCTCACGAATTACTAGACTAAGTACTGCTGAATTACAAATTTAAAAATAAAAAAGTACAAAAGAAACAAATAAATCTATTAATCTGTGTACGCGAATTATGTTTAATATTATCAGATTCATCAACAAATAAATCTATTAAAATAAATCAATTTTCGTACCATTAACTACATTGTGAATTAGTGTTCTTAGAAAATAAGAAAACTATATAATATAATATAACTATATAATCTTCCTAAAGTAGATGTTTCAACTATATGACATTATATAAAACACATTATTTCATGTGATTTCTTTAGTTCAGTGCTTTCATAAAATTGTGTGCTGTGCAAATACATAAAGAGAATGTAATAAACGCCGTAGTAAATGTTCCAGTCATCCCTTGTCTGGATGATAACGTTATATGATTACCTAAGTCTAATTATTTATGACATATTTACTAATTTCTTTTCATTGGTATTCTATATACAAATTAGCTTATATACTATTTGGAAAGATCCGTTTTTGATCGTCCTAGTTCTATACTGAGTCTTTTTTTTTTTCGAAACGGCTTATGTGATGTTTCCTCTATACCGATAAAATTACGTAATTTAAATGGTTCTCAATACATGTATGTATCATATAGTATGGTATAAAGTAAAGCACGAACATTATTTTGGCTAAAAAACATTTTCAAATAACCTTAAACTAAATTCATATCGATTTTACAGTTCATTTGTTTGCCTATATATTGCAAATATGTGTTCGCACACTCAAGTACAAAGTTTCTTAAAATTGATTAAATTTTTCCATGCAGACAGTAATGAAAAATATATGAAATTTTAATAAGGAAAATAATGATGTTTCATTCTGCTAGAATTATGATGTTTAGTATAAAGGTTTTATATGCTAATGATGTGTTCGATAATCGCTTTGAGAGTCACTTCAGTAATTTAACGCATCTAATAATTAACTTCTTAGATTATAATTTTGACTTAAAATGAAATCACCCAATTAATTGAATATAGCCTAGAAAACCACTTTACACTTCAAACGTGTTCTTTATTTTGGTTTCATGTCGATCCTGTTATTAGATAGCAAGTGGGTTTGTTTGAAGTTAAGTACAAAGCTACACACAATGGGCTAACTGTGCTCTGCCCACCACGGGTACCGGTTTCTAGCGTTGTAAGTCCGCAGACATACCGCTCTGCCACTGGGGGCAGCAAGTGTGAAACAAATTTTGGTAAACACATATGATTTTGTAAGATATTTCTCATAGCGCATGCTATGTTTCATGCACATCTTTATTTTCTTAATTAAGGGCTTGAAAAAAATTCGTATTATTTGACTAGACATGACCTATGTGTTTGTGGTGTTCAGGAAAAAGAACCGATATGCTAACTCTTTGATACTATTAAGTATTGAGTATATACTATTAAGTATTAAGCTATACACAAGATGTCAAAGTAACAAGTGGTCCTCTACCTTTTATCTAATTTCTACATAAATTTTCGTTTTTTATTAAGCAGTATAAGCTCATTCTATCGAGATATGAATTAATTCAAGTAGAAGTAGTTTATATTCTAAAATTTATAGAAACTTTTGTTGAAGTTGTTATGAATTATCATGAAAATAATAAAATATGACCTTAATTTTGCTATAAAAGGAAAGAATGACAGAATAAGTTAATATTTATTAAAGCTGGGCCTATTATAAGAACTACTAACTAAGAATTTGTATAGCTCATCTCACGGGTGTTTGTAGATGTAAAAGGTTTTCGAAATGAACTATTTGATAAAATACAAATATGAAATATTTTGCGTTTCATTGCTAATATAATGACTATAAAAAGTTACGTGTACAAATAGAGTAAAACGTTCTTTTGATGTAGAAGCCATCTTACGGTAATAAATATCCTAATAAACTTAAGGCTAACAATATATATATATATAGTTTTTGCACATAAAGCTATAAAACCGGTAAAATCAAGAAATAGCAATAACCACGATAAAATTATTTAGATGGTTTAATTATGGACTATTTTTCAATTTTTGTTTAGAAAGGTTAGGAAATTATGTGGTTTTCAATGAGATTTGAAAATTTGAGAGATAACAGATTATTAAATAAAAATGCAGAATTTGAATAAAGAAATTTATTTATCATTTTTGCTTATTATTCTTGGTTAGATTGTTTTTAAGGATCGCCACTATCGTCATTGATAACGCCTTGTAATAAAAGGAGTGGGAGTTGGTCGATTAAATTATCAAGCTCAATAGTTTGGCTTAATAACGTGGTTTAGATATAACATTGCGAGGTACAAGTATCGTACTGGGGTTTTGCTAGAAATAATAATGTTTAATATGTTTTTGGAACTGTACTATTGGAAACATTGTTGCCTCAGAGGTTAGGTCAGCATAATGTGTGTATTAGAAAACAAACATCAGTCCAATATTTGTAAGTGATTTATACTTATAGTTACTGCTCGTGATTTACAAGAAAGAAATATCACGTTTTGATGCAAAGTAGAGAAAACCAAATTGCCATGTTAAGTGTAGTTTGAGATAATGTTGTTGATAAAACCTCATATCATGATTAAACTATTTACCTAAAATAAAGAGACTTAGAATAAAGTTATATATTCTGGTTGAAATGTATGGTTTATTATATAAAGTATTTTGGAAGCCATTGTTTTCTATAACGAATCTACAGCATATTAGGTATAGTATTTGTTATTTTCAACCAAAACAAAAGCTGGGCTAAAAATAGGGTAGAAGATCCCAAGATTCAGTCATAGTCATTCATAATTTAGAGAGAGAAAAACCAGTCAGAAGCACCTGACACTCACAAGTCTACCCTTGATCCAAATCGAAAAGTTTCATTGACTGTCATTTTTACAACATGCCATAATGTGTACTCAAACTTTGGATCTACTTCTACGCAGCAGTGCACACAAATACACCACTAGATCATTCCCAGCAGAGCATATTAGGAAACGTCTTTATTGTGAATTTAACTCTAATAAAGTAATATTGGCAAATTTATAACGTTATGATAAGTCTAAAAATAATACATGTTACACTATATAAGAAATAGTTAGATGTTATTATTAGGCTTGTTATATTTTTTCACACTGCGTTTTGTATCTAGTCCCTTAGGGAAGACTTGCAATGCTAGAAACCGGATTTCGATACCCGTGGTGGGCAGAGCACAAATAGTCCATTGTGTGGCTTTGTGCTTAATTACAAACAATCAAACAAACCCTTAAGAATTTTAAATAATTAGAAGAATGTATAATAATGGTATTCCAACCACATTATGTTCACCATATCCATTACAGACGGTGCGTTTCGCTCAATCTAGAGCTCATCAGGCCTGTTGGGACACAACAAACACAATAGTGGTCGTAACACTATTCATATAAACCATTTTTATAGCACATGTTTGTTCGAAAATAAACTATCTTTTAGACATAATTTTGAGGAATGCCAAATTGTATTGATATTTGTATGAAAGAAATTATATAAGCTCATTTCTATAGTTTTGTGGAATGATTGAGACGAGGAGTTAGTATTACGAATGGTATAATTATTCAGATTATTATTGTCTAGAATAATAGACCGAATAATTATACCATTAAAAAAGTCATTCCTGTTTATTTATTTTTCACTTTTACATTATTTGGATATAATTATGATTGCTCTAATATGGATGTCAAATACCTCTGTCAAGTTTATTTGTCCCAGTTGTTGGAATAATTTCTATAAACAAATAGGTTTTGTTGTTTTCATCCAAAGAGGACACGCCAAGGTTCAACAAATTCGATTAAAATTTTCATAATTTCTGTGATTGAATGAATAATTAGATTTTTTTCCCATAACATATAAAGTGATGATTAATGTATATTATTAAAACCGATTCATACAACATTTTTTAATCATGCTATACTTTAGGTACAAAAATAATTTCAGGATTCACGTCTACTAGGTCCTTTTTTCTCAATTACTGTATGTTCAAATATACGCTTATAAGCTTATTGATTGTGTTTAACGTATTGTAAAGTGAGCCAAATTTCTGTGACAACTTGACATCTTTTATTTCATTTTAAAAATGGTAACTTAAAAAGACACTGGATGGAAATTTCAACAATTTTTATCTATTATAAATCTCTGAGAAGTTTACTGAATTAACCAGATTATTTGATAATGTAATATTAATAGTGTTCGAAGGATTATTTTATGAACAAATCTGATACATTACAATAGATTAAAATAAATAATAGGATAGATAAAACAATTCAATATGTACTTATATATTATCAATATATTTTACAAGTAAAAAGAATATGAGTGGCAGATGATTATTCTCTATTTTTCTAAAAACACTTTGGTTATTTTTTGTTTTTAATTTAAGATTAAGAAATAACAATAGGCTAAAAAAGTCAAAATGAAGACCAAACGAATATTGGATATGTTTGTGTGAAAATAAACTATATTTGTCAAAGGAGTGAGAGAAATGGTAATTTTACTTGATATTTTTATGAAAGAAATGTAAAATCACTCCGTTTTTCGTTTTATAGTAGAAAAAATAGGGTTTCGATACTCTTGGTGGATAGAGCTGAGATAGCCCATTGAGTAGCTTTGTGCTTAACAAACAAAACTAAACAAACGTTTTTAGTTTGTTTCATTATCGCCATCTGTTGGGACTTTAAAGAGTTAAAATGAAAAGCAGTTATAAAAAATCTTTTTGTTATTGCTCACGGTGTCAGCTAGCATAAACATTTATATTTTAATTTTTAGGTAACTTGAACGATACATGTTTTTATGTTTTGTAATAACTGATAACTGAAACTAATTTACTGGTTTCCTTCGTTGAAGCAGAATCCCATCCAGATGGGAAAACTTCAGCATCAGTATGTTTATGTTGGAAAGTACGCCGCAGTGCGGACTTTTGGTTAATTCATGTGTTGCTTGAGAGCATAATCATGATTGGAAAGTTTATAATCTCAGAAATTCATAATTAATTCATAATATGAATCGCTGAAACCAAACTTTCTAAGAAACGTTGTGAGTGAAAAGCCGTTAAGTGAAAAGAAAATCTACTTCAAAGTAGGATCTTTGGCTAACTAGGGCCAATGCTCCATCCAACTGAGCTGTCTAAGAATAAAAGTCATCCCTGTCTCTCCTCACTCATAAGGAACTTCAACTATGAGTATGAGTATGTTATTGTGGTGTGGCAATTCGTGGGTTGATTCACCACCACCACCTAATCAAATCATAAGAGCCTAAATAGACTCTCTCTCTCTCTCATATATATATATATGTTTTATTACTAGATTTAATTCATAACACGAATCACTGAAAGTAAACTTTCTAATAAACATTCTCAATGAAAAAAGTCGTTAAGTAAAAAGAAACTCTAAGACTTGGGCTTGAACCCAGGACCTTTTACTAACAGAGTCATAGTCTATTCAATTGAGCTATTCAAGAAAATCCTGGATTCAATCTCTAATCCCAGATTTTTCTATTCAATTAACATCTTTTTAATTCACAATATCGGAAATTTCCAAGGGATTATAGATGTCACTAAATTCTCATGAAACCCTTGAAGATAAATGCACCTCTTGTCTCACCAACATATGTATCTATTCCCCTTTACATTCTTCTATCTCTTCATATCAACTAATAATGGGAGGGTTTGATTCTTCGGTCTCAACATTCTAAATGAATGTTGTAGCTGTTTATTGGTTCTACTCACCTTCATTCATGTGTTGGAATTTTGTTAAGTGGCTGTTCAAAAGTGTGTTCGTTTTCTTCCTGTCTCCACGAAAGTTCCCAAACAGTGCAGAATAGATACAAAATATACTATTCACTTGTTTTCATCCATGTAATTTAGATGAAAGCTCTTGTTGTAGCCTTCTAGAAAATGAGTTGGATACATAAAAATTCTAGATGGTTGGTCATGGGTTTACAGTAGAAGATACATCTGACCATTTGTCATCAAATGCAAAGTTTTCTAAATGTCTTGGATAGACTTTGTTGCATCTATATATCAACCAAAGTTCCCTCTTGATCTTCAGATGAAACATTTTCTTGATGAAGTGCTGTCACAGGAGTATAATCTACCGAGTCTGAGTCTGTTGGACTAGCTGTAGCACAGATGTTATGGTCTGCTTAGTTACATGCATGTGCTCCCTTTACAAGAGTCTCACTAGTACAAGTGGTACAGCGCGTAATGATGCTTTGTGAATCGACAAATATTGTTAAATTTTCTTTATTATCTATATCATTATGTTACTGAGCAAGAACCACACTTATCCCACAAAGAGTGCCATGTGTTACAGAGAAGATAGGCTTGGAAACACTCCTTCCCTATAGACTAACTTCTAAGTAAAACAGTGTATACATCCTGACAAAAAGTATCTGCTCGAAACAAGTTTTTATTTAGACATGTATGCTAACTTATTTATCCATCTCTATCGTCTTATACAGTAAACAACACCATTGAATGTTGTTTTTATTTTTATATAACCAGGAAGAACCATACTTGATGTACAGCAAACCTGAACCTGGTGAGATTTTAGAGGGAAACAACATTTTCGAGGGCTATAGTAAAGATCTTGCTGACTTGATAGCAGAAAAACTGAAGATAAACTATGTATTAAAACTCGTTAATGACTCTAATTACGGAGGGCAGGATCCTAGTTCTCCGGCTGGTTGGAACGGAATGGTTGGAGAACTTATTCGAAAGGTAAAGGAAGTTTGTGATGTTCATTGCGTTTTTACAACAGGTACGAATTCGTATGTTTAGTTGCCTAATTCTAGCAAATTATAAATCTTGTACATTGATTGGTAGTTGCCTATGGTTGTGTACTGAACACTTCAAGTGTTTTCGTATGGTAAGTTATATTAACCTAAACCTATCCGATTTTTGGCTTTTTCTTTGTGGTTTATCATCTTTTTTTTTATCCCAAATGTATTTTCCAAGTTCACTCAAGACATCTATATTTTCTTACAGGAGGCGGACATGGCTATTGCTCCTTTGACGATTACGTCTGCCAGAGAAAGGGTAATAGACTTTACCAAACCTTACATGTCTCTGGGTATTAGCATCATGATAAAAAAACCGATGAAGAAGAAACCGGGAGTATTTTCTTTTCTAAACCCACTTTCCAAAAAGATCTGGATGTGCATTATCTTAGCTTATTTGGGAGTTTCAGTTGTCTTGTTCTTAGTCAGTCGATTCTCTCCTGTAGAATGGCGCTTTGAAGAGGCTTTCCTGGGTCCGTCTGTTTCGAATGATTTCTCTTTAATGAACAGTCTTTGGTTTTCATTAGGAGCTTTCATGCAGCAGGGCTGCGATGTCTGCCCAAGGTAAAGAAATACTAAAGTCTATCTTAGACTCTATGGTTGTTTAACTGTTCATTTTCTCTAATTCTTTAACTTTATTTGTTTGTTGTTAATTAAACACAAAGATACACAATGGACTATTTGTGCTGTGCTCACCACGGGTATCTAAACCCGATTTTTAGCATTATAAGTTCAGATATTTACCGTTGGGCCACTATCGGGATAATTTATTAATTAAATAAAAATAGGATGTTCCTTCTCAAACATTTCATCTTTGGTATCGAATAATAACGTATTCATTAGTCAACTCCTTGTTCAACACATTATATATATTTATAAGTATTTACAATATTTCATGAAACATTGATGCGCATACGATATTAAATATAGTGTTTATTCGTAGTTATGCACAAAGCTATACAATAGGCTGTCTATGCTCTGCCCACCACGGGTATCGAAACCCGGTTGCTAGCGTTGTAAGTCTGCCCCTGTGCTACTAGGGGTAGAAAAGAAAATAGTGTTCTCGGGTAAATCTATCTGGAAAAAGGTGACGGAGTCACAACAATTTTATATAGAAGTGAGGATAGGTACTTAAAAATGTAACCTACAGTATCAATTATTAAATACCGTAATTACCAATAATTTGATAACATCCAGCCGTTAGTTTACAGACTTAAAATATAAAATCAGGTGCACTAAAATAAATAAACTTATCACTTGGAGAGCTACCATGATATTTAGAATACATATATTTGCAGAAGTTATTTATACCACCACCATGGGTTGAAATAAAATTTATTTTATCTAAGTATCCATTTCTTTATCATAGTGTCATAATGATCAGTGAACGTCTTTCTTTAGATGAACGTTTGATGTACAGAAGAAACATAATTTTTGAACTGTTTTCCTTCCGTATTTGGTATTTATTTCTATTCTCTCGGTATTTTATTTTTATTTCTTGTAATACAATCGTTAAACGAAGAAAGTAAGTACACTTTTTACCTTGTTCGTAAATTTAATATAAAACTCTGTTTCACCTGTATGTCTTTCTACCTGTACATTTAATTTTAAACCTAAATCTCTAGTTCTTTTAGTTTCAAGTTGTGTATGATAAACATTATTGTTAATATATTTGATTTGACAACATTTTCACTCTAAGGCATAATATATATATATATGTATATATATTCAGTTAATTTTTATTTATTTCATTTTTCTTTCCCACTCTTAGGATTTTTGTCTACTCGTACATAAAATTATCAATACAATTACACCATTTGTCGTTAAGTTAATTATTACTGTGAACAACAATAATCATTTTACAAAGATGATATTTATGATATTTGGTAGTATCGTTTTATCGTAATATCGTTACAAGAGCTATCTGCGCTAGCCGTCCCTAAACTAGCATTGTAATACTAGAGGGAAGGCAGCTAGTCATCACCACCCACCGCCAACTCTCGGGCTACTCTTTTACTAACAGATAGTGGGATTGACCGTCACATTATAACGCCCCCACGGCTGAAAGGGCGAGCATGTTTGGTGGGACGGGGATACGAACCCGCGACCAGCAGATTGCGAGTCGAGCGCCCTAACCACCTGGCCAAGCCGGGTCTGGTCTCGTATAAAGCCATTCCTCTGTTTCAATTGCACAACCATTATAACAAATACTTGACTATTTTGCTAAAATATAGCTAATTTCAATAAGAAATTAGTCAAAGTAATAATACTGTGCCAATTTAATATCAGCTAAAACTAGCGAAGGATTTGGTGCTAATTTGTGTTACAGTGTAAGACGTTTCAGCCGGTAAAAAAGGGTTAATTGGGAGACTAAATGTAATTCATGTGACACATTTGATTCTAATATATTTACTTTATCTATTACAAAAGTCCCCAGTGGCACAGCGGTATTTTTGCGGACTTACAACGCTAGAATCCGGGTTTTGATACCCGTGGTGGGCAGAGCACATATAGCCTATTGTATAGCTTTGTGCTTAATTACAAACAACAAACTCTTACAAACTTTAATGACTACATGTTTTATTTATCAGACAATTGCTTTTGAAGATCATTTGCTGTACCTGATTTTTAGGTCCGATTATGTTGGACCTGGGAGGGTCAGGTACACCTTCGACTTCTTCTCTCCCCACCCCCAAACAGATTTTTGCTCTTTTATTTTTTTGTAGTATCAGATTTCACATTTCACGTTTAATTTGTTTTCCTTCGAAGTCAGTACTTTAATTTTTTTCCTAATCCAGTAGAAATGTCTATCTTTCGACAGTTAATGTAGTTAACTGTGACATTTTTTAAAAATATTACTTCGAACACTTGCGTTATAAAATGTTGCTTTTATGTGTTGTGGTAATATGAAAACACACAAAAACTATCCAAATATTTGGATGTCTTTTTTTTTTACTGATAAAGTCAAGAAACATTAAGCATTAATGAATATACGTATTCCTTTGTAAACGATAAGCATTAATGTACATATTTTAGAATAAACACTACAGGGATAAAGCCATTTCTAGAAACCGGGTTTCGATACCCGTGGTAGGCAGAGCACAGATAGCCCATTGTGTAGCTTTGTGCTTAAATACAAAACAAACAAACAAACAAATTTCATATTTTGATTAGATATGAAAACGCGTAGAGCTATTAACATTCAGCAAAAAATAGTGTAATTTCGTAGTTTTTTCTAGCTTAACTGAGAATTGATAGAAAAAATAAATAGCATTAATGTTTTTGCAAAATATCATTCTTTCTTAGATAAAAAAAATGTTCATTCATTGTTAGGGACAGTGATAACTTTCCTACGAACAATGTCACCTGTTTCCCACAATCTTTGTAAATGAATTCCAATATAATTAGCGAATGAATAACTCTAAATAATTCTCCAAGCATACTGAAAACTGAAATTATCTATAAAATCATTATAATGAGGAAAAGGTATTTTTCAATGTTTGTTTTTTTAGGTCTGTCGCTGGTCGGATCGTAGGCAGCGTATGGTGGTTTTTTACACTGATAATTATATCCTCGTACACGGCCAACTTGGCAGCTTTCCTTACCGTTGAGAGAATGGTGACTCCCATTAACTCTGCAGACGATTTATCGAGGCAGACCGAAGTCGAATATGGAACTCTGCGATTTTCTTCTACGCAAGAATTTTTCAAAGTTAGTTCACGGATTTTTAGTTTTTACAGAAATCTGTAAAGTATAAAGTTCAATGTTCAAGCAAGAATTGAACATTTACAATCACAAATGTACACTCACAGACAGTGCGAAAAGCTTAACGTTAAAAACTGCTCAAATTATAATTGAGAGCTGCGCAAGATACTAATTATATTTTCTCTTCTTATTACAGAAATGCTATTTGCTTATTTCATATTTTAATACCTCTTACTTACTTTTATTGTTATTTCTGTAAGTTTTAGTAATGATGTTCACGGTTTTCACAATTCTTGTTGACTTTACACAACCAGTTATTTCTGCCCTCTTACTTCTATCTATTTAAAGTGCCACCAAAAAAGTTATGAAATATTTTCCGAAAAAAAAAAACTTCTATGTCTTAATTCACATTTCCAAAAAGGGAAAACATGAAAATACGGTTCTTTTCGAACAAGTTTTCCAAATACATTCATTAAAATATTTGCTGGCACATAGTGACCGTTTTTTCGGGACTTCTAACATGGAATTTATGTAAATTTATCTTAAGAATAACTTTTTAAATAAAAGACATTTAAACATATATAGTTTAGTAAAACTGAAAAGAATATTATACCTTTTGTGATTGTCCAAATATAGATGTTGATATTTCATTTATTAATACCCAATCAAACAAATATTAGATAAAAAACTGAAATATGTATTCAAAGATAATAAAATTATTTTTTCAACCTAAAAATTTGAATAGATTATTGAATAAAACTAAAGAAAGAGATTTTTCTAAAGTAGGTATTTTCAGTTGTAAAAAAAAGAACTCTGTTTTATTTAATCTGGGTTAGATGAAAACTACCAATACAATAAAAAGTAATAATAAATAATTGTTTTAAATTAATAACTCATTTAATTACAATTCTAAGAACGAAATATATTTTTTGAATGTGTGAATTGTGGTGAATTATATATTAGTGAAACAGATAATTTATGACTAAGGATAGATTTACATAAGCATGTTAGATGTCCAGAAAAAAAAAGCCACAAAATATTTTAATGTATATGTTTTGGAAAATTTTAAATTCTAAAAAATAACAACACATTTTCATGTTTACCCTTTTTGGGCATGTAATGTAAATCATAAAAAGTTATATTTCGAAAATATTCCATACGTTTTTTTTGGCGCCACTATAAATAGTTTGTTTGTTTGTTTGTTTTTGAATTTCGCGCAAAGCTACACGAGGGCTATCTGCGCTAGCCGTCCCTAATATAGCAGTGTAAGACTAGAGGGAAGGCAGATAGTCATCACCACCCACCGCCAACTCTTGGGTTACTCTTTTACCAACGAATAGTGAGACTGACCGTCACATTATAACGTCTCCACGGCTGAAAGGGCGAGCATGTTTGGTGTGACGGGGATTCAAACCCGCGACCCTCAGATTACGAGTCGAGTGCCTTAACCACCTGGCCATGCCGGGCCTACTATAGGAGAAAAAATATATAAGTCTCATATTCCAGTGTTTTAATATAAATATATAATCAAAAACTATTTGTCGATTACAGATATCGAATAAATTTTAATAATAAATCGATCGCATTGAATGATCTATTAGTTTCCAATAAGCCTAAAATTTTGATAAATGTCACGCAAACTATGAATGTTTTTTGTTTTTTTTTCACATTCCTCCTAATTTGTCCAAGATCTGAATTCTACAAAACTAGCCGATAAGTTACTGCTCAATAGGTCTTTAATTTAACACCAGAACTCATCACGTGGGTTAGATGATGAGAAGCAAAAGCTTTTTTCCCCTTTGTCATCTCATTCTAGCCTTTAAGGCTGGTGGGCAAGCAAAGGGCTACACCCTATCTTCAGAACATAGTGGCTATGGATAACGAATGGCCAGATGGTAAGTTTACTGTACTGGAAATGATTCCAAAATGAAAGCTGATTTTTCTGAAATTATGTTCGTCAAGTGTTCAAAAACATACTTGAACAGTTGTGAAGGCAAGTGAGATATTTGAAAAGAAAAATATCTTTAGACAGAATAATTATATGGAGGAAGTTTTTTCATAAGGGAAGCAATATGTTCTAGATCACCTCCATGGAAGAGGTAACTCATTCATGTGGAAGAAATGTTCAGCTGCATGAAACACTTTTTGTGGAAGATGAATCGAAGATTTTAGCAAGTTGACAAGGATGACATTGCAAGACAGGAAGCTCTGTGTAATGTATTAGATATAAAACTTCTGAAAATGGTGAATAATGTTGGGAAATCCATACATTTTCTGGATTGGAGTTGGTAGCTTTATTCTGAAGGTTAGACGGACGACATGGTGTTCTAGACCCATAAGTCTTTCGCAAAAAAGAAGAAAACGCAGATTTCCATGAGGTATGAACATAAGTAATGCAAGGAAGAACGAAGGCCTTATAAGAATACAGAATAAAAGGTGGATTCAAACCCCAAGTGGTGCCAGTTATACATCGCAGAAGGTGATTTGTAATGGTGTATCAGAGGCGGATAAATTAAACTTGAGTGTAAAGGAGGAGACAAAATCAAGCCCATTTATATGAAAATAGGATTATTGGAAACTTCCAATATTGTGGGTAAAATTCAATGTGAATAATGTAAAAAGCATGGCCAGAAACATACATATCTTCCTCGTAGAATAGCAGAGATACGTATAGGTAAATTCATCCAGAAATGCTTCAATATTACGCTTATTCTTTAGAACAAGTTGGATATCACCCACAATTTTGGAATTCCGTATAATTATTCTCCAGAGTGTGGTTAAAATGGGAAGATCTGGTAACGAGATATCAGATAAAGTATAAATATCCCTTGAAATATCAAAGTTCAGAGGGCACTGTTGTGGAGCAGGAAAGTTTTTCTTATGAAAAGTGGCAAAGAGATTGACTTTGTCAAAGGACCCTGTTAGAGCAGAGTTGCCATGTTAGATTGGGTAAGTGGAAGAGTATGATAGGTGAGTAAGAAATTTAAATCGATACCAGTGTTGTGAGGAACTGAAGGAATTCTAAAGTTGATTACAGACCTTTTGTCACTCAAATCTTGTAGCTACGAGAATATAATTACATGCTGTACGTTGTATACTCCTGTGATGCTGAAGAATGACTGGGTCTCAGGATCAGAATATTCACAATATAGAAACGTGGAGAACAGAAGATTCCCCGAAACACCATTTATATATATTATAATATTATAAAGGTTAGGTTCATACGCCGAAACTGGCAAAGCATGAGAAACAAACAGGTCTACAATTTGTGATAAAAATCAACTAAACTACAAATGTTTTGTTTTTTCACGTTGATCTTAATTTGTCTATTTCGGATTCAAATGCTAAATTCATAAGAAGTTTAAGAATTTTTTGTACAATCATTTGGTTCACTGAAGTTGATAGAGTTTTTCCGCTATCACTAATTCCTTTATTATAATGTTGCTGTTGTGAATCATAAAACTTCTATTTCATGTTTTTCACTTCAATCATTAGGTATCCGAAGTAGTTAAATATACTTCTATTTCATGTTTTTCACTTCAATCATTAGGTATCCGAAGTAGGTAAATGTAAAGAAAATAATAGAGTTGTGGGAAATCAATTTTTATGTTGCAAAATAAACGACAATTCTCTCGGTCCTGAAATTTAAAATTCTAACTTAAATATTAGTATAATTATGTTGACATTCAATGTTCACAATTTCTAATTATTGCATAATAGCCTAGTATTGTTTAAGGTATGGCTTAATATATCTATTCAATGCAAAACAGATAAACGTATCTAAAAGGAAATGACACTGAGTGTAGATAATGGTGGGTATTTTTTGATATTTTCGTGATTAGTCGCGGATGACCAGCTCGTAGAACGGCTCTAAATTTTTTTTTCCAAGGACAAACTTTTAGCTCATAGCTTCGCCATCTCTTGATCCGATTTTTGATCTAATTACAGTTTTCAACTCAGGAGGTCAAACTCTTTCTATTGATATAATGACCAAGCCCAAGGTCTCACAGATTAATATATTCTAATCCTGCCCAAAATAATTTCAATTTGAAGATAGGCTGGTAGAGATCCTGATGAGTGATAAAATCAAATCAGGTATACATGCAACCATGCTTGACATTACTGGCGCACAGAAATATAGCTAATAAAAATGGAAACAAAGGTCTCATAGATTAATTTACTCTAATCCTGCCTAAAATAATTTCAAGTGCCGCAGCCATTGAGGATTCTCTCTTATTTAAAAAAAATCATAAATTGTTTTTTTTGTTATGTATATTCACCCACATTAAGTTGAATTATTAGTTTATTTTTTGTTTATTGCTATAAACAGTTATGTTAATCCGTGTATTTTGAATTATTTGAAAAAATCGAAATAGAGGATTGAAACAACTATTTGTATCATTTTGAAGAGATCTAAGATAGCAGTTTATGCCAGAATGTGGGAATTCATGAACTCTAGAAAACACGTATTCACATCTTCATACGATGAAGGAGTTAAACGAGTGAGAGAGTCAAAAGGAAAGTATGCTTTTCTACTGGAGTCCACTACCAACGATTACATCAACGAACGGCAGCCATGTGATACCATGAAAGTTGGGAGAAACCTTGATGCTAAAGGTTTTGGAGTAGGCACACCTCTCGGCTCTGGTTTAAGGTATGTTCAAGTTCATTAAGCAGTTTTCAAATTTTAATCTTCGGTATTTTTTATTATGTTGCTGAATAAGACCATGGGTGCCCACAGAAATATTTTCAAGGGGGGCAAAACATGTGTGTAGCTAAAAGAATATGTGTTACGTGTGCTTAAATGCTAACAAAAGTTTACAGTTTCAATAAATATTACGAAAATATTTAGTTTAACTACGATATTAACTTTACGTAATAATACGTGAAATTATTTGTGAAATGTAAGGGGGAAATACCCTTTCCTGAGGGCGCCCATTTATAAGATAGTTTATGAATATCTATTCCGATGTCCTTTGGTTCGAGAGAATTAAGCATTTTTATATGTCACATTTGTTTGTTTCTTTACTATGAATATGTTAGCATAGGGCTTATCATTTAGTTTGGTTAAACTTGAGGTATAAGACAGCTTTTGATAAAGTAGTTTTTCTTCTATGTACTGTTAATTACCGACTAAAAAATTTTGCTTGAAAACAAATGCGTTTGATTTAATTTGTCAATGTTAAGTAATTTGTGATACAGGATAGGTAGAGATGCTATCAACTTCAAACTTTTAGTAGTACTTTCAAAATGACGTATCTTTAAATAAGTATTTTATAGGTTTTAAACTTGTTTAAATATTTTGAATGAGATTTTTTTAAATCAATTATTTGACTAAAAAAATGGAGTAAAATTGACAGAATCTAGAACAGGTTAACAGAACAATACGCACTATATTTAGTTAAATGTTCAACTAAGAAAACATTTATTATTTTATATTTAAGTAACAATAAGAAATGCATACATTATCTAACTTTAGATTCTATGTATAAGCTTAGATCAAACTAAGACTATGTCGGAGTTGAATCTTCCATTCAGATAGATGCAATGCATAAGATAAATCTAAACCAAGATTTTACTTTATTTTGGCGTTTTTGACGATTTGCGTAAAACAAGCTATTATTCTTAATTTTGTGAAATTCTATGTACATCGATTTTTCTTCCCTAATTTCACCCAGCCCGTATTCCCGAAAGTAACCATAAACTATTTAAAATGTACACGTTTCTTCACGAATTGCAGATCATCAGTAAACATTACGAGACATTTGTACACAAAGTATCAGATTTTGTAATCAAGCTTTAAGATTTTTAATTAATTATTTGCTCGTGCATTTTTTATTTTCGAATGTTGACTATCCAACATGAGAAATAATTTTGATTTTAATATTAAAAATAATTTTATGCATCACAAAATTGGCAGATTTCACTTGCGAAATCTCTATGACCTCCTGTATCCTTCAGATAATTATCAAACGTTCTTTTAGGTAAAACTTTATATTTTATCTGTTCTTGTTATTTTCATTATTGTATCTCTGCATGGGTTTGGTCGATTTGACCGACATCGTAACCACCATAAAAGACAGGAAATTGATATAAATTACGTTTTTTTCGTTCTAGAATTACTGCAGATTATAACACGAAACCACAAATGTTTAGTCTAAATAGCTTAAATCTCATAATATTTTACATATATTTTATTGACCTTTCAGTAGTGTCTGACTAGCATCACAGACTTTGAATGACTCGGCGCACGTGCATAGATGTTACATGTCCAACAATATAAAACTTGCCTTTGGTTGTGTTCTAGTGGACCAGTATTTTGTAAAATACTGTTACATTTCGGTTATAATACATCATATATGTATATACATTATTACTGTTTACAAATAAGTTGCTAAATTTCAGTTATTTTTCTTTAAACATAAAATAGTAAATAAAGAAGCATAGAAAACAATTATTTCTTCGAGTTACGAACTTTGTACTCGTTTGCTGCTTTTCGTAATTTGCTAAGCCCTATCAAATTTCACGTGGAAAACGTAAAAAAAAATTCTTTATTTTTATATATCCATTTTGAAATAACAAAAAATCATAAATAGCTATATAAGTACCACAGAATTCCACTATAATTTATCAGGCTTTGTAAGTAAGCTGTATTTGGGTCTAAAAAATTTAATTTTTCGAGCTCATTAATTTCTTAACTTATCACTTGGAATCTTCCATAAAAATGAAAGGGTTTTCCGCGTAAATACTTCGCAGCGGCTCAGAAAATTAAGTGAGGGACACTCTGAGTTTTCGATTGGGTATTACACGTCATAGAGAGAATTAAGTGTACGTAAGCAAGTATTTCCAAAAATGGAAAGAGGTGGGTGGGCCACTGTGTTTGATTCACTAAATGTAGCGATATTTCAGCAATATAAAATATAGATGGTTCTTATTTCATATTCTATCTTGTTAATATCGGTAATTTGAGTTCCTAACTCGTAAGAAATTATAGACTTTGTATTTGTTCATCATAAACATCTAATTTGAACCAATGCTGCATTCAACATACCACGTGACACATAAAAAATCGATATTTAGAGGATTTTTTAAAAATATTTACTTAAATTATTTTCTTAAATTAAGAAATTATACATTAATAAAATAGTAGTTCAATAACATTCTGAATGTAAATCTACAAACGTGATGAAATGGGCTTTGACCGTTATCATAGGAAGACCCGTCAGATAATTTTTAGCTAGATATTTATGAGTAATAACTTTGGAGCAGGAGTTTAAACATTGATTATTTAAGTCATGACACTATAGTATTTTTGGAAGGTCAGCATGATTTAAACTAGTATGTTTCTAAAAAGAAATGTTTATAAACTCTTGGCAAACGCTTGTGTTTATGTTATTTTCAGGGACCGTTTAAACTTAGCAGTGCTGTCTTTAACAGAAAATGGAGACTTGGCTAGATTAAAGAATAAGTGGTGGTATGACCGGAGCGAGTGCAGCAGCAATACGGGGAAGGTAAGCCGTATTTAGAAGTCAATACTCCAACTGTCCTGCAATATATGTTTATAGTATGCAGTATGCCAATTGACTGTGCACTCTATGTTAACAATGATTTACTACATGAAGAAAAATTTACGATTTCTTTTTTTTATTGTTCAACAGGATTCGTCTCAAAACGAGCTGACGTTAAGTAACGTGGCAGGTTGTTTCTATATTCTTATTGGCGGTTTAGTGTGGGCGATGGTAGTTGCCTTGTTGGATTTCTGCTATAAGGCGCGTGCAGAAGCCACTAGAGCAAAGGTACACGTGTATTTTTTTCTTTTTCTGTAAAGAAGAATGATCATTTGAACTTGATGTAATTGTTAGTCATATATTTTCTATAACTATAGCAATATGAAACTGTAAATACAGATTGAAGATTTCACAATTGCTCAACATGAGCTACCAAAACATTTTAGGTATTCTTGACAGATAAGAAAGAAATATGGTCACAGTTTTCCTTTTGATGTTTTGAAACGTATGGTATTAGTAAGATAACAAAGTTTACTCATACTTAATATTTTAGACAGATAAAACTATCCAGCAATAATCTACCATTACGACCAATCATATTGCAAACGGAGGAAAAAAATCATTTTTAAATGCTTAGATTTCGAGTAATATTCATTTTATTAAAGGCATCATATATGTAGTTTATTTGACCGTTCTATATAATTTGTGGTCTTTACGTATCTGAGCAAGAGTTCTAAATGAGTGATAAATGTTATATTGTTTTTAAGCAATACTGAACACGTTTGTGATCAACGTTTCAACAAAAATATAAGGTTAATCTTTTTTTGTTTCAGTATTTTTTTGAAGAATATATTTATAACATTAGTATGATAGAGTTAATATTCCAAATGTTAAAGCTGTCTGATATGAATTGTTTACTATTCCTCTTTGTGCTATACACTTTGGGTCTAATAGGACAAGTAACTGAAGTAATTGGTTTTCGAAAGAAATTTTACTGTTGTGACATTTTGTTTTACTTAAGGAACATAACTAAGTAATATTTTGGTTTCAAAATAATGTTTTTATTTTATTTTGTTGAGAATAATACTATAGTAAAGGTTGTTACTAAGAGCTCACAATTATTAGTGGTTGTTTGTGTTTTTATTTTATCAAAGAGAAAACGCAGAGTATTTGTTCGTATCTTTTCATTATCAAACAGATGAGCATGATGGAGGCGATGAAGGTGAAACTAAGGAGTTCTATCACAGGCATGCACCAGCACGAGCGAGGAAGGGTACGGACTGGCTCTATTTAAATTGGTACAAATTCCTACTTGTCGTCTTGAATTTCATGAACCTCCCCTGTCTTCGTGAATGGAATTTAGTGCTGTATCTGCGACAGACAAATGATCTTGATAACGTTTTATTAACGCATATACAAGCATTAACCTTCTAAAAGAGTTTGAGTGTCATTATAGTGTTCTTTTTAAATATATTTTCAGACAAATATTATTCCATAGTTTCTAAAATCTGTAGAACAAACACAACAAAACAAACAAACCTGCGTGTAATTTTATGGTAAGTGTACATGTTTATTTTTCAGGAGTATTACTCTAAGAAAACCCAAACAACACTAATATTATAAAATATAATAAAAGAGTATTTTATCTTAAACGCAAACGTTTGAAAACAGTTTTGGTTGTAGTATCAGTTCATATTATCTTATAAAAATTAAACTATTATCATATATTATTAAGATATTTTGTTGAATCTTGTAGTAAAAATATATTCGTTTCATAATATTACCGTTTTTATTTGTTAAAAAAAAACAACTTTAGCCAAGTGATTTTGCAGTCTTTAATATATCTTATACTGATTTAGAAAGATTTTTCAGCCTATTTTATTCTCTTCTTCATCAAGACATAAGATGGGTGCATGTTTATCAGTGTATGTAAGCTATATATCGTTAATGAATAATTATAGGAAACTTGTTTGCCTGAAATGATAGTGATTTGTAGAAGTAAAAATCATTTATAATTGTGTTAATATTGTCACAAAGGTAGGTACCAAAAACTTTAATACAGTGTTTAATGAAACAGCTCAGATCTATGACTGGAGTTTATAACGTCTTGTGGGGATCTTCTCTTGGTTGCTAAATTTTGATTAATAATCTTTTCTTAAGAACAACATTCATTTATGGACAGTAAATTACTTAATTATGTAGTTAAAATAAAACGGTAGGGAAGATGTATTAATACAATAATTATAGGGAGTTTAGTACTTCCATTATTAAAATAAGTTAAAGCAGTTCCAAGACCAAGATATCTTGATTCCAGCAACAGTGTCTCTAATGTTTTGATATTTATTTTCATTATGAGAAGTGGTAAAACTGTAACATATTGTATTCAAGATTCATGACTAATATCTACTGCTGAAAATACGATATTTCTGCAAAACGATATTCACGCTATTCAATAAACACTGCTGTTGTTGTTTTAACGAAAGGTTACACAATATACTACATGCGCTCTGTTCACCGTGGGAAACGGAATCCCAGATTTTAGCGTTGTAAGTCCGTAAACTGAGTCATCGGAGGACTTCAGAAGACACACGATTAGAGAAAGGATCAGATTTATTTAAAACAAATATAATGCACGTCTGAAACCTATAGGTTCTTAAGAGTGTTGCGTCGATAGCTATATCAGATATATTGCTTCTGGCCAGAAGTAATATATCTGCTATAGCTATCGACGCATCACTCTTAAGAACTTAAGAGTGATGCG